TCATAGGGCTTAAAGGATCATAAGCGCATGCTTAAGGCGCTTGATGGTGCGCGCGATGCGCGGTGCGCGACAATGCACGCGGTGCGCATTTGCGTGCGTGGTCGTATGCACAGCATGCGTATGCGCGTGCGTGCTAAGTGTTCCTTAGTACATACATGACTTAATATAACTTTGACATTAAATTCAGAACATGCTAAGCTATTAATAATTAATCCCGATTAATAACATCCTTTAATAAAATAAACGGTTCGGAAACTAATTATCAATTGGACTCGGTTAATAATTAACCGGATAAACTTTTCGACTTAACGTCGAACTTATTCGCTGAAAATGAACGAAATCAATAAAAGATAATACATCATTTCCATTAACAAGAGGTTGGGTTATTACAATGAAAATGTCAAAAGAGCTTTAAGATCATGTAATCTGGACTTTAAGTCCACAGATGATGGTACTTTATGTGGTTCTTGTATGATGGCAAAAAGTCACTCTCTTCCTTTTGATCATTCTGAGTTCATATCATCTTATCCTCTTGAATTGATTCATACTGATGTGTGGGGGCCTTGTCATGTCAAGGCCTTGAATGGATATGCTTATTATGTGAGTTTTATAGATCACTATTCAAGGTTTACTTGAATATACCTATTGAAAGCTAAATCAGATGTTGTGAATGCTTTTGTGAGTTTTCAAAGCTTTAGTTGAGAATCAATGTAATAGAAAAATCAAAGCACTTCAAAGTGATGGGGGAGGAGAATACCAAGCATTACCAGATTGCTTCAAGACAATGGTATTGTCCACAGGATTTCATGTGCTTACACTCCACAGCAAAACGGTCTAGCTGAGAGGAAGCATAGAGATATTGTGAACATGGGCCTCTCTCTACTAGCTCATTCTCATCTCCCTTTGTGTTATTGGGGGGATGCTTTTGTTACAGCAACATATCTCCTGAATAGAGTCCCAAGTAGGCCATTAAAGTTCAAGTCTCCCTTGGAAGTCCTCTATGGGCACAAACCTGATTACAAAAGACTGAGAGTATTTGGAAGCCTATGCTACCCCCACACTAGGCCTTATAACAAACACAAAATGGAGTATAGGTCTTGTGCAGGTGTATTTCTGGGTTACAGCAATCAATACAAGGGTTACAAGGTACTACTGCCAAACAGAAGAATAATCATAACCAGGGATGTGGTGTTTGATGAAGCAAAATTCCCTTATGCAGATAAAGAAGCTCAACAAAAAAATCTGCCCAATGAAGATAAGACTTACAGTCTTCCAGGGATTCCTACTTTGATCAAAGGTGATGATGTGAGGCAAGAACAACAAAGAGGAAGCTTAAACCAGAATAATAACTTCATCTCAAGTACACCAGGTAGCACACCAAATCAAAGAACTACACCTCAAAGGAGCACTAGCACAGACACTACTCTACCTGCCATACCATTGGTGGTACAATTACCACAGATCACAGAACCCACAGAAACTAGAAAGCACCCTATGATTACAAGAGCTAGAGCAGGTATATATAAGCCAAAGGCTTACCTGGTGCAAGAAAAAGAAATGGAACCAAGGTCTCTAGCACAAGCACTGTTGCTGAAAGAGTGGAGAGCTGCCATGCAAGAAGAGTTAAATGCCTTGGAAAGGAACAAAACTTGGTGCTTAGTAGAACCTCCTGATGGGAAGAATGTTGTAGTTTGTAAATGGGTGTTTAAGATCAAAAGAAGACCAGATGGGAGCATATTGAAGCACAAAGCTAGGCTTGTAGCTCAAGGATACTCACAGAAACCAGAATTTGACTTCACAGAGACTTTCAGCCCAGTTGTCAAACACATTACCATAAGGATAATGCTCACTTTAGCTTTACAGTAAGGCTGGAAAATAAGACAGTTAGATGTGAGCAATGCTTTCCTCAATGGGGATCTTAATGAAATGATCTACATGAGACAGCCACCAAGTTTTGAAGAAGATAGGGGATGAACACTTGGTCTGCAAATTATCAAAGGCTTTGTATGGTTTGAAGCAGGCTTCTAGGGCCTGGTTCTGTAAGGTCAAAGAAGCTCTAAAGTTGATGGGATTCAGAGATACAAAGGCTGACAGCTCATTGTTCTACAAAAACAGCCAAGGTGGTTCATTGTTTGTACTTATATATGTTGATGACATCCTTGTAACAGGAACTCACAACATTGAGATAGAAAACTTTGTCAAGAATTTTGGAAAAAAATTTGTTATCAAAGATCTTGGAGAGTTAGAACACTTCCTTGGGGTTCAGGTTACTAGAACAATTGATTGTCTACATTTAAGCCAGGAAAAATACATTTTGGAGCTGTTAAAAAGAATGAAGATGCAAGATGCTAAGGGAGTTCCAAATCCCATGATATCATCCCCTCACTTGTCCAAAGATGAAGGAAATCCCACTGTTGATGGCACATTGTTTAGAAGTGTTGTTGGAACTTTACAGTACATTACCCTCACTAGGCCTGAGATCAGTTATGATTTGGCAGCTTACTTGGAAGCCGACGTGGCAGTCTCCCCACAACCAACAGTAAAAGAAAGGCAGCCGTGCATGGGGACAAAAGGCATTAATTGCCATGCAGCTTTATCTGCATGAAGAAAACAGAACTTGAGTTTGGAATTTTCATGACCATAGGATCATATCTTTTACTGTACAGGTGTCCATCTTATCTGCCTTAGATCAACACTATAAGTATCTTCATTGTACACATTCTTCATCATCTAGGTTTTATATGAAAAACTTGCAGCTGCGATGAGATCTTCTTTGTGTTCTTCATTTCTCTCAACTTTCACGATGAATTTGAGCTCTAAATTTCATTAGGTGAGACATCATTGGATGTGCTTCAAACCGAGTAAACTCCAACCAACAACAATGGATTCGATTCAACAATCATGATAAAACTACGAACAAACACGAGCACAAAAAGGGGTTCAAAATAGGTTACTCATGTTCAGAAATCTACAAGCTATCTGAAAACAGATCGAACGAATGGGACCGAACGGACGAAGGGAACTCGAAATAATTGGGTTGGAACCTCGACGTACGGATCTTAGATGGTTGCTCGTGAACAGAAAGCAACGTTGACCTCGAAGATGGAAGACGGTTGAGACGCGATGAACAGGCTGCCGGAGGCGTTCACCGAAATTAATGGTGGATGGGTTTGCCGACGACACACATACGAAGTAGCTGGGTGTAATACCCCATTTGAATATGAAATAATTGGGTTATTTAGTATTTATTGTTATTATTATTATTATTTAATTATCTAATTGATTATTGCTACTTATTATTATTATAAATATTATCGCTAAATGCTAATTGCCTTTAATTATTTATGATGATGATTATTATTATTATTATTATTATTATTATTATTATTATTAAGATTTATATAATTGTCAAATGTGCCGAATTGATTAAATGTGATTAATGTGTATTATTAATAAATATATCTTTTATGTATATTATATTTAATTAAAATGTGTGTTATATATATATAATTATCCCTATTTTATTTTATTTATCGAACGTCCATTTCGAGCCTCGATTTATGTTTATTAAAGAGCCGAGAAGGTCGGGTCTTTAAATCGAGAGAACCGAACCGACCGAGCTCGACCTGGTTTCTCTCTCTCTCTCTCTCTCTCTCTCTCTTTTGGTATAAACTCTCTTTCTCTCTCTTGTGCGTGTGTGGTGGGAAAAATTAGAGATTTAGTCCTTTAATTGGTACCTATTTGAGGTTTAGTCCTGTAAGTGACCCACTTTTAGAAAACATCCCGTAAGTGCCAAAAATCGTGAGAAATGGTCCTGCCACCGGCAAATGCAGGTCACTTTTACCGGGTAGTCTACGTGGAATTCTGATTTTCTTTTTTTTTTTTTTGGCTGAATTGTAAGCCACGTGGAATATGTGGCATAATTACAAAAAATTTGTAGAGGAGGGGGTTCGAACACGCGTGGATAAGCCATGCAAGTGGCTCATGAGCCACTTGACCTAACATAACTTATGTCAAATATTTAGCTTCACTTATATATCTATCAAAAATCCAAATATAAATATAAATATAAATATATATATATATATTATTTAACTAGCAAAATACGTTTTATCAAAAAATAATATATATATATTTATATATATATATTAAATAATTATTGAAATAAATACAGAATATATTAATTACTTTTAAAACAAATCTAGAATTTATTAAATAATTATCAAAAACATAATATATATTATTAATTTATTATTAATTAAATAATATTTTCTAAATAAATAAATATAATAAATAATTTATAAATATAAATTAATAAATAAATATATTTAATACTATAATTTATTTTTATTTATTATACAAATACAAGATTATATTCAATATTAAAGTATTATTTTTTATAAATATATATATATTATTCAATTTATACTACTCGCAATTATAAAATTATACATAATTTATTAATAAATTATATATATTATTCATTTTTATATATTAATTAAATATTTATTAAATAACTAAATGTATTATATTATTTATTAAATATGTATATTAATAAATAAATATATTAAAATATATTATATTATTTTCTCATTTACTGTATTAATAAATAAATATAATAAATAATATAATATTACCTTTATTTAAATAATTAAAAATAAAATAAATTCTAAATATAGTAAATAATACATATTACAATAAACTATAATCAAATAAAGTATATAATTTTAAAAAATAATATAATGTATTTTTTTGTTTATTTTTTTTTTTTGTTTTAGTTTGTAATTAATATATATATTAAACTATATAATACAATAAACTATAATTAAGTATACATATAATTAGAAATAAAATAAAATGATATTGTTTAGTTATTTATTTAGTGAAACTAAAATAAATACTAAATATAGTATTTTTTAATAAAACTTTTATTAAATTATTTTATTTATCTTATTTAATTTGATTTATATTTAATATATTTATTAATTATATTATTGAATATATTTATTTTTAATAAATATTTAATTTTTTATTATGATATTAAACTTATTTATTATATTTTATTATCTAATATACTTATTTATTAAATTATTTAATATATTAATTTATTTAGTAAATATTTATATAATATAAAAATTAAATCTAATTAAATATATTAAATATTTATTTAAAAAAACAATTTAAGTAATTATTTGTTTTTTATCTGTTGTTATATCCGGCAATTGGGGGATATAATTGGTACAATATATATGTATATTATTAAATTAGTTTTAGTATGAAAAGTAATATAAATTGAATTTATA